TCTGTAGAAAACCAGAAGCTCCAAAAGCAGAAAACGTTCCCGGTTTTAAAAAGTCGCAAAACGTGTGCAAGTCGTCAGCCACAAACCTCCTCCACTTTCCAAAAAGCTCCCAAACTTTTATCCCAGGCCGTATTTCCTGCGTTTGGAGAGGAGACCCAGTTAAGAGTCTCTAGATATTTGGAGCTGAGGCTGGATTTCCTCCCCTCGCGTTCCCTTAGAGCAAAGAAGGCGAAAATCCCCAGAGCAATACAGAAAACCCTTGGATCTCCTCGGTGGGATTAAAAAAAACCCACCCACCAAACAGCGGTGACTTCTAATCTCAAGCAATTCCTTAGGTCTGGATAGTGCTAGTTTTCGCTGGCATGTGTGTGTCCAACAAACACAACACTGTGCGCTCTGGCTGTGGTGCGTCCTCTTCCGTCCGTCGTTGGTGCCACCCTTTCTCTCCCCCCTCCTGATAAAGCTCTCTGCTGGAGTTGGTGTGGTGGATATAAACACATACAGGTTTGTGGCTGCTTTCGCGGTCTTATCCAGGCGAACGTGGTATCTCCTCTCCTGCAGCTTCCAGGGGTCTTCGCTGTGACTGAAATCCTCGCCCCAGCTGGTGTGCTGGTTGTGACCGAGGAGCCTGTAAAGCAAACCACAGTTTAAAAAACATAGTTTCCGGTCTTGCTTTTCAAGAAACGCAAAGACAGTAAAACATTTTTCACCCCCCCCCTCCAAAAAAAACTTCACCTCGCTGCTCTGTAAAGGATAGTGACTCCGAAAAAAACACGGGATAGAAACAGGATCACTTAAAAACGCACGAACAACATTTTGTAAGTTAAAGTAAAAAAAAAAAGAAGAAACGTTTAAAGCTGGGGAGGCGTGGGGGGGCAGCAGGTTTTCACAATAAAAGCAGCGCACCACTTACACCTAAATAAATATAGTACCTTAACGGTATTTTGTCCATGGCAGTGTTTGTGGCGGTTTCAGTTAAAAAACAAAACAAAAAACAATTTGCTTCTTCACAAACAGAAATATCATTTATCAAAAAAAAAACCCCAGAAAGGTATGCTGTTGTTGCCTGGCCTAGTTTGCAAGTTAAGCCAGTTTTAATGTTCTTCATTAAAAGGAACCATACAAAAATGTTATAAATGTAATAGATATATAGCTACAGTAACACTTTATTACAAGTACTTGGTTTTTATGTATTTAACTGGAAAATAAGTAACTCAAATAACTAATCAAATAACATAAGTTTTCCAATATTAGTCAGCACTCACCTTAAGCTAAAAGCTAAAGTATAATTAACCTCATATCAAGGTTACAGGCAGCAACAAACCTTTTAAAAGTGATCTTAATTTACCATAATAATACGACACAATTGCCAAACCAGATTGATCACTTTAAGCTAGGCTCTACCTTCCTCGATCAGTGTTTGTTGATTGGTGGTTTCCATAAATAAGTACGAAGCTTCGCTGCGTCTGGTCAGAGGGAATAACTGAATGTTTTCTGAGTGATTATCTTCACGCCTCTTCACGCGCTTAACAAGCGCTGTTAAATTAACAGTTTGTGCTTATAAAGCATTAATTACAGTAACACCCACAGAAGAACAAGATATTAATCGGCGTGGTTCCTTTTTTGTTTTGCTTGAAATATCATTTCCTGACTGTGGATATCCTGCACCACACTCCGTCATATCTGATGTGTCTGTTGACTGGAACTTCAGATGAGTCAAGTTTTCAGGTTAGAAGATCAAATATGGCAGTCTTTCCTATAATTACCATTGATTAAACCGACAGTTAATTACTTCAATGCTGGCCTTAAATAGGGGGGAATGGGTTTGACATGACGGTATGCATGTGGGACACTAAAACCCGTATTCAGTATTGGGTTATACTATAAAATACAACATTTTTTGTTCTGGTTAGACCTTGTACATCCTGTCTGATAGTAGCAGAACGTCTTACTTTGTCTTTGAAACAAATGAACTGTTCTCAGTGCTTAACTTGTGCATCCTGATCCACATCTATATTTGTAGAGTCCAGCAACCAAACTCTTCAGATTAGTCTGATGTGTAGGAAAATATGAAATCTAGCACTTTTTCCAGTTGTAAATTACTAATGTTTGCAGTGCAATCAGATCAGATCAGAATCACATTACATTCGTCTTAAGTTAAGAAGTACAGTAATGCTAAATTTGAAACCATGCTGGGCAACTGTGTAACCACAGTAGCAGGGCTTAAATTCACACCAATCAAATTGACTACAATATGTATGAATTAGGGAATTAAGGACTTTTGCAAAAGTCATTGAAAAGTGGTTCCACAACTTTGACATTTGACACAATAGCAATTATCCACGGCAAGTTTGTGGATTAATATCAAATGTATTTTTCTTATGTCTAAGGTGTGTTGACTGTCAAGGATCAGTAACGTGTGCTTTGCTATTGTGCACCACACTGTGTTCACTGCAGCTGAATCAAATAAGTGTTGAGCCACACGTGAATAAGAATATGATAAACAAGGTAATAAATGTTTATTATGCTTGTTTAATGTATTTGTGAATCTTTAAAGAAGCAATAACGTTTTAACTTTGAATTGAAGCAAGTTGCCCTCTGAAGTGTGTGTGTATGGCATGTGGGTGGCGTGTGCATGCTTGTGTTCAAGAGCTTACAAGAGAGGCCCGTTTGAAGAGCTGATAAAGCTACGCTGATAAGTCTGCGCTGACACTGTGCACGGTCCCGTCTGTCAACTCAGCAAACACAGATTATGCTCAAACACAGATGAGGATGTGGAGCACATGCATAGGTGAGTTTGCACTGTACCGTAAACATGGCTGCTTTTGCATATTGACCACAGCAGCGAAATTAAGCTCTTCTAAATAGAGCTCAGTGTGAGCAGTAGGCCTGGAAGGGTGAAAATACATTTTTGTTGTTGTGACTTTTCACAGCAAGGTGCTAAAACTGCGGTGACAATCAGCATGATGTAAACGTTTACCTTTAAATACATCCCACTTTTGAAAAGCCTAAAATAAAGACATTCTTAGCCTCGCTATTGTCATATGGCAAAGTCAGTCCATTAATCTGCGTCACCCCACCACACTGCTCGACTCGAAATATCTCAGCAACTGCTGGATAGATTATCCTGATATTTTATAAGGAAATGTGTGGTGCTGTTGCAGTGAAGTGCACACGCAGTGATCCCCTGATTTTTCACTTCATCATCATCAAACTGTGGTCTGTCTATGCTCCACTTTTCTGTCTTTTTTCCCCCTTACCCCAAAGAGCAGATGCCTGTCCCTCTCTGACTACAGTTCCACTGAGTTCAACTTCAAGTTCACTTTATTTGTCATTCCAGCTGTATTAAAACACACTGGGATAAATTTGTGTTTCTCCTAGTCTGAGTGCAAAATTGCTAAACTGAAAACCACTCCAAACAAGATAGACTTCTACAATAAAGAGACAGTACAAGGTCATACAGTGCAACCAATGCTGGAGGTCTTCCTGTTAAAATGGACATTTTGCTCCCCACTGTTGCCAAGTATTTGCTCATATACGATTGCCTGAGTGTTGGAGTTCTTCCTCTAATATTCTATGATCTATGAACTGGCACTATACAGATAAAAATGAAGTTAAATTGATAGATAACCGTAATTTGTGTGATTCTTTGGGCTAGTATCAAATATTCCATATGACTTACCATTTAGAGTGAATGAGCCAACTTAAACTAACATATTAAACATGACAAGCATGCTTTCTTTGCATTAGTATGGTAGCAATTCCATGTTGGAACAATCACACTCAGGCACCTAGCACGAAAAATCATTTATTTGATCTAATTCAAACAAATAGTGGTAAAAATACACTGAATCACAAGTAAACATGTACAGTGACTTATTTCCCAGTGTCCAAACAGTCTGGAATAAAAGAAAGGCAAAAAAAAATAAAATAAGTGAATGAACGACAAGTAACTTGAAATGTTGCTTGTATGCCACCATCTACACTAAAGATGAGTTTGTTTGGAGTGTGTTGTCGAGTCACTTTTTAAAGTAGTGTCTAAGTGGTCTAGAGCATTGCTTATTCAGCTCAGTTTCAAGGTTTCATTGTGTGCTTTTGAAGCAGCGAGACACTGTCGCTTGAATTGCCTGAATTGCCTCTTTGTTTAATTTCATTCATCGCTGAACAGATCTGCGATGTGGGCGGTGATTTAGAAAAGCCGCGCTAATTGTGTAGGCCACCATATGCCGTATTTACAGAGTGTGATCTTTTATCATTGACTCTCTACATTGTCAGACGTTTGTCCTACAACTATGAACGCATCTCATGTTGCTTGCCTGCACACTTCTGTGCTGACTGTGTAGCATTGTCTGGCACACGATTGTAGTGGGATCCATCTAAATCACTTCACATAGATATATAATCATACTCACGCACACACAAACTTTTGATTGATGAAAAATGCACTGCTTTAAAGAAATTTGAGCCTATATAAAACGATAAGCTGCTGACAAACCGTGAGAAAGCATAAAAACTGTGTCTATACCAAGTTTGTGCAGCTGTTAAACAAACTGGAAAAAACGGGCAGCTTATAAAAATACATCCAACCTATTGCTTTCTTTTCACCATCAATTAACACATTGAATGGAAGCGCCACCTGGTGTCTGTCTTCCCTCACTGCAAAGGAGGGAAGCCAGCAGCTTATAAAAAGGCTTAGCGTTTCTATTTTGCTGTGATTTGGGCTGCTGTGAGCTCACTCAGCTGCTACACGCTCAGCTATGCCTCGGATCCATAAAGCATGTATCTGGATGGATATATGTGAATAAATCTGATTGCAGTTTCTTCCTCTCGACTGACAGTCCAAAACAGCATGTTGCGAGAACTGATGCTTTTACCTTGTGTATTCCCAAAGCCTTCTAAATTTTGCAGCCGAACAACCAAATGATATGAATTATAAATCGTTTCAGTGGGAGAGATTTCGTCGGTAATGTCTTTGAAGGCTCACAAAGGAAACAGGCACGATTCCTGATTTTTGGTGTTTACTCAAAAGAAATCACACAAAACAATGACAATGAGAAACAGGCCTAAAAGAATGAGAAGAAGATTACACTTTAAAGGAAATGCCCATGTGGTCTGCAGCCGTGGTTGAGGTAACACTAGTATCAGTTTGGATGGCTGAAAAGGCCACGTGTTATTATGGGTTTTTGCATTGGATAAACAGAAAATCACCAGAGATGTTCAAATAAAAATAGTTTGTATAATGAACATTGTATAGTAAAATACAGAGTCCAGTACAGTTTACAGTAGGGTAGTGGAATTACAACTAAATGTGGTACAGGGACATTTGAAAACACAACAGGAGCACCATTCCCTCTTCCATTGTACTAATATAAACGTATTCTGATTTTAGGACATTTAACCTGGTGGATAGGTGAGTAGAGGCCATAAGAACACAGCACTGCAGATCGCACTGAATTTTCAGACATTGCACACAAAAGACGCAGCGTTTAATATCGTTGGAAGAGTAGAGTCACTGCCAGCAAATTTTCTCTGATGAAAAGCAGAGCCAATAAATAATATACAAACTTGAAAGATGTGAGATAGAATGTCTCTCAGTTTTCATTCAGATATCTTGTGAGATTATACGAGCCTAAATATTCTGTCTGCTTGGTACATCATAAAGACACAAACAAGCACTAATAAATAAACTTAAGTACTTCTGATTCGGGTCTTCCAGTTTCTCTAGTTCGTGGTACATTTCTCTGTCTTCCCAGCCACCATCTGCCTCCTCCTGCACCCTTCTCCTCCATCTCACTGTCTCCTCCAGCGGTTTTTGGGCTTCTCCTCACATGCAGGGCCCTCACAGGTACCAGGGAGGGGAGGCGGCGGTGTTGTTGCAGCTTTCGCAGGGGCGGGTGCATCTGTCCTCTTGCTAACGCTGCCGAGCAGAGCCGGGAGCTCGTGTGAAATGGCTTTCTCGAGCTTCTCCAGCAGGCAGCCTCCAGTCCAGCTGCAGTGATAGGAGAGCTGCTTGAAGTTGGAAATCGGGTTGACCCCGAAGAAGTCCTGGTAGGCCTCCTTGTCTGGCAGGTCGAATTTGCTGACATTGGTCTTAGCCAGAATGGACTTGAAGATGTAATACTTGTCGGGGTCATTGACAATGTCTTGGAACACCTCATGGGGGTCACCAAACCAGCCCAGCTTATCGTAGTAGGTCTGGAGGTAGCGATCCACCAGCAGAGTGTGGATGCGCACACGGATGGCGTGCTGCCGAATGAATGCGATCTTGTTCTCCATCTGATTTTCAATCACCTGCAAGGGAGGAGGAAGAGAAACGAGAGAGAGCGGGTGATACAAAACAGATAAAAGGACCAAACCGAAACAATGAATTATAGATTACTAGCACGAACGTGTGCTTTGATTGCAATGATACCATCATGAAGTCCAGTAGTACTGAACCAACAAGTAGACTTCTGAAAAAGTCTGAAAGCTCATACCCAACATCAGTCCACTTAATATGACATATGTACTGCTCTCAGTAAAACACAACCTCCTCTCTGTAATCACACTGGTTTAAGCTGTATTTCGGTAATTCTTTTGCATCTGTGCTGCCACACTTCTCACTTAAAAGATTTGCTGCTACTTTTTGCTTCCAGTGTTTCAAAAGCCCCCACTTCTACTCCAGCATCCACCTGAAAGCTAATTCCAGTTTAATCCTGCTTATTAAACTAATGAGTCAACAAAAACTGCTGTAGAAGTTGCACCTGGTTGAGGTCCTCCAGCAGTGAGATCTCCTCCTTCATAAACAGCTCCCGGCTGGTGTCTGGAGCATAGGCGTAAGGCCAGAAGGAGCTGACGTACACTCGAGGAGGTTCGGTGACATTGATGAGCGGTGCCATGCTCCAGAAAAGGGCTCCGTAGACCCTCATCAGGTTCTGGGTCGAGAGGCTGTCTGCCTTGTTGAGGATGAGGCGGATCTGTGATTCACGGCCCTTCATCTGCCGAAAGAGCATCTCCAGCTCACCTCCCACATCCAGTTTAGTAGGATCAAAGACCAGGAAGATGAGATCAGCCCGATCAATGAACCACTGGCACACCTCATTGTATGGGTATCCTGAAGGAAAAAAGAGGACAATTTATGTGTGTTTTAGAGTCAGAAAGCTTCAAGGAAACCTCTCATTGCACCCAGAAGATAAACCAATCAGCATGCTTTTTATTAACAGCTATTCTTTGTTTTCTGTGAAAGGCTTACTTAAAAAAAATCATAAAAAACAAATAACTAGCAGAAAATATAGGTTTAATAAAGAGTGTAGATATCCGATAGTGCTGTATACTGATTTAATCCAACTCTCTCTATAAACCAGTGTGGAAATGTCATTGTAGTGGATCACCCCAGTAATACCAGCCTGCAGTTAAATTTTACATGTCTAATTAGAGAATTAGAACAAAAACATTAAATATTTCATCAACTGCTGCACTAATAGAAGAAATGTGACCATCACCTCTTTCCTGCTGCTTTCGGTTTTCAATGATGCCCGGTGTGTCGACTATGGTGACCCTCTCCAGCAGCTTGTGTGGCATCTCAATGCCGACCAGTCGCTCCAGAAAGTTCTGGCCGAACTTCTCTAGAGGCGAGAAAGGCCTCGAGCTATCTGCCGCCATGACGATGCCCTCTACACTCCGAAACTTCTCGCCGTGCATTATGACAGTGTACTCGGAGGTAGTGGGTTCAGCACCTGTTGAAATGATGGAAAAGGAAATGCTTTATTAATTTGATTAATTAATTTGTAATAATAACTTGTTAATGCAAAATAACTCCAACATATAATTTTAGTACTAAAACAAAATGCTTGTCTAATGTTTAATGACTGTAAAAATAAACTATTGTTTAAATGTTTAACTAAACTTTGAGCCTTATTTGTAAAATGTTTCTAGACAAATGTGTTCTTAACATGTTTAAAAGAAGGGATAAAACTTTTGGTAGATATTCAGGGTTGTTTTATTTGTGTCATACGGGCCAAAGTGGCAATGAACCTTCCTTAATAATGAAATAATATATAATATGTTATATAGTCTGAGGACGTGTTGAAACTGAAAACATCGCATCCAGGACAACATAATCCACTTTCTGGGATTTCCTCACCTGGATTATTGAGCATGCATCAAGCTATTATTATTACTATTAATACTATTCTGTTTATTTACACTGTTACGTTATAGCTTCAAGTCAAGATGAAGCTGTCACTGACAAACTAACAATCATGCTGTATCTGTATGAACCTGTGTAGAGTTGCTGGGGGGTGCCATGAAGACCCAGCAGATAGTTGATCATAGAGGACTTGCCAACGCTCCAGGGTCCCAGAAACAAAACCATGGGCTTGGATGTGACCTCGCCCTCTGAGTATGTGAGAGCCAGACATAAAAAAGAAGGATGAAGAAAAAAGGAACAAAGACATAGACAAAGAAGTCATTAAACACATCAAACCCTCCTCTTTCTTGTTTTTGAAAAACTTAAACTATGCTACTGTTTAACTACTGGTTTTTTTTTTTAAACATCTTTCCCTCCTCGGGTGCTTACTAGAGCTAATCCTGGTTTTTGTCATTTTTCAGGCTTGCTTCCAGAACAAAATGACTGGCTGTGCTTCAGAAGCTAGTGAGGGTGACCTCTGCCTTTACAGCTTGCTAGCATCACCCTTTGAAAAAACCACTTCAACATATTGATATATTGATATATGTTGAAGTGTCAAAACTCATCACTAAGGGTACAGGAAAGGTCACCAAATGTTCTCTTTTTTGGGGAAAGAGTTAACAGTAAATCCACAGCTGCAGCCATCCTGCTCATGTCACCACACCACACACTGGTTGTTTGGTTTGCCAGTATACAGTGGGTATGCACCCCTGACACTTTAATTCAGAGCAACCCAGGTCAGCAAAGACTTTCAAGAATGCTAGAAAGTTTTGAAGGTGACCACTTAAAGTTTTGGTAAATCCCTCTGATTATTCTTTTGTGGCGTCCTTGTCTTTAAATTAAAACCTCCCGTTGGACAAAGGAAATACCAAAATGAATGGGGACATTTAATTCAAAGCACATTTATTCTCCCCTCAGAAAATAAACTTAGAAAACAAAGCATAGAATCTCTTAATATAAAAGACCTTAATGGTACACTTTGTGATATATACTCACCAATGTAAAAAATAATAATAACAATAATAAATGAAACTACCTTTGAATTGATTGTAATTGTGTACTTCCATTCTGGAACACAAGGTGTCCCAGAATCACATGGCACAGTGTGAAGTCTTGATCCTGCTCCTTAGCATAAATACTCCATGCCCTGAAGTGCTATGGAACAAAGTTGCAGTGCTCCTGGCCCACACAATGTTCCCTTTAAATTTCAGCAGACAGAGTCCTTATTGTGCTTCTCTGTGTGCCTGGTTTGATTAATGTCACATCTTGGCTTCATATTCATTTATAATTATGACTTTATTTGTACTTCAGTGTTGCTGTGCTGTTCCATTTCGTTAAACCAGGCACTGTGTACATGTGAACTGATAAAGGAATGTGGGTAGGGTGTGCTGCTTTGGTTTTACACACCACAGTAAACGGCTGGAAAAGCAATGTGTTGAAGTCGTGTCGTACGCTTTCTGTTTCTTTTGACAAGTTACCAGAACTGTGGCTTCTGACTGACATTCACAGCAACAGTATTTCTGTGACAGGGAAGCATGTGAAATTCTGATTTCTAACGGCCTGAAATTAAGAGTGAACTTTATAACACAAGAGGCCGCTGCTGAAGTTAAAAATAGACGTGAAGAGATCATGACCAACAGTTTCTTCCCATGTTGCTAATGTGGACCTGTAAAACCTGTTTGTGACTGTACAGACAAACTGTTAGTGCTTTGGTAAGGGCAGTTAAACTCCGCAGGAAGCTAAATCACCTGTGACTTCATGCTGCCTGAGCTCATTGTACTTGAAGGCTTGCTCTACTGGCTTGACGGCCTTGTGGTAGATGTTCAGCAGCGTCTTCACGGCACCTGGAGGGGAGTAAAGGAAAGACAACCTGGACAGTTGGGATGGTTATGTAAAAGAGCATTACGAATGCTCTTACTACCCTTACTGACGACACCAATTGCTCCTGCTGTATGTGATGAATCGGCTTCTTAAAGTTTACTGAATGGATCTGAGGTGATTAGGGGCTGGCTTTGCTCAGCTCTTTGGCCTCACCGCAACAAAACAATCTAGCTCAACAGAACAGAGGGGCTTTTTGTGCCGGGGACAGAGTTAGGCATTTTCACTGATTAATCACCTTCCCTTAAGACACGTCTGCGCACACACGCGCACACACACACACACACACACACACACACACACACACACACACACACACACACACACACACACACACACACACACACACACACACACACACACACACACTCTTTCATACTGTACACACATGCTCACATAAAGGCCTCAGGACCCAGACATCGGGAAGCAATTTTCAGAATAGTTTCTGCAGAAAAAAAACTCCAAAATTGTTTCAAACTTCCTTTCATATGCATGCAGAAAAGCATCTGTTTTTTTTTTCCACTGACAAAGTAGCTGTAAACATTCTCCTGCATTTTTTCAGTACATGACTCCACGTGTTATTTCTGCAGCAAAAGTCTGAAAGATGTTTGAAACAGTGTGCAGCGTAGCAAATGCGCTCACTGAAGAACCAGCTTTTTATTGAGAGGATGTGTTTTATGGGAGTTTTAAAGAGGGAGCTTCTTAACCGCCGCTGTTCCTTCCTTACCTGAGAACTCTGCTGACGGTTCAGCAGACGCCAGTCGCAGCGTATCCTCAATGTGGGAACGGTTCCTCAGTGCCACGCTTAATGTCTCTCCTTCTGTGCATTTAAATTGGAAGAACCAACTGTTTCGGTTAACACGTGACAATTAACATGGAAAAACAGGCACACGGTGACAGCAAGTAATCGAATTTTATCTGTGAAAAATATACACAACTGCTGACATGGTGGGAAAACAAACGTGGACTCAATGTAAAATGTCCTAAATTGTTATGTCATGCTGTTATATATCTATCTGTCTATTCCTTTCCACAGCTACTCCCGGCTGTTTATTTCTGTACCAGAGATTGTTTCTGATTCCTCTTTAACTACACACAGTGTCATATTCTGGGGATTTGGCATGTGAACAAAAGAAAGAGAGAAGCCGGATACCATAGACCTTTGCTGTCATTTCATGACCTGTCTCAGTTAAATGCCCAGTGACACAAATATCTCATTACCAAACAGAATTTATGTCATAAGGCACATTTTATATACACAAAACACAAAACACAATGTCTTTATTAAAGTTGCGACAGACCAATAAGCTGCCAAATAAGCAAATTGCACATTACAGCGTTTGTAAAAAAATAAAAATAAAAATCTTTTCATCTCCTCAAAGCTTGGGTTGTTTTCATTTATCAATAGATTCTTTTCTGGGTGCTCCACCGAACATTTCCAAAGGGTAAGCATGAAATGTTCCAGTGAGGCGTTCTTTAAATTAAGGGACTCATTTTTTAATTTTTATTTCCTTCTTGTCAGAAGCTCGATGAGAAAATCAGTAGGCATGTCATAGTAAGCGACTCCAAGGCTGAAAAATGAAGCCAGAGCACAAGTGCCAAATATGGCAGGTCCTTAAGTGGCCACTTGAGTCTGCCTCTAAAAGTGAGCCAATGTGAAAAGAGGCCAACTTACAGTGAAATGAATGTGTTTACAATGGGTTAAAAATGTTAGTCTTGTAGATAATTTACCCATTCGTAACAAAAGTAAAACTTTTACATTTTTCAAATATATTTTTTTGGCTTTTTAGCCTTTGTTGCAGTAGGACAACCGGAGAGAGACCAGAGGTGAGATTCAATCACAGGCCTTCAGCTTTAACCTTATGAACAGTATGAAGACTTAAAGTTTAGTAACCGGAAGCTTTGATTGACAGGTGGTTGTTACCAGAAACTTTTAAAGCAGTTTTAATGTAATTATCCGACTGGCTTGCTGTGTGGCCAGCAACCCACAGAGTCTGTGGAATATTTCGGTTTTGCAGTCATGTGACTGCTAACCATGTGAGAGTAACTTGTTTGCCATTTTAGATGTGTGACCCTGTAAGGTTAAGTGAATAAGGTCCCAGTCAGACCATCTGGCAACCATCGGTCATGTGGGGATAATTTATATTCCCTGACCTGCAAAAACTCTCACCAACTACTATCTGACTTTCAACAACAAAACGGAAACAGAAAATGTGCCTTCAGCAACTCCCAACTATTGTGTGCATGATTTCACTTGAGAAACTGGTGCCAAAGAAGACAAAAAAAGTCACATGGATGCCATAAAACTTCAAAATACTGCTCCTCAAACCAATGGATGGTACCACAATGCCTATAGTCACCATCTACATACGATTTTAGGTCTGAAAGCTAAAAAGCTACAGCTATGAAATGACTAGAAGATCAGCTTAGCACAAAGACTGAAAACAGATATAGCTACACTGGTTATATAAAAAATTATCTCCCTAATATCACCCATAAGGTCCACTGACTAAAACCATAAATAATGTTTGTTTTATGCTTGTAAGCGAACAAAGTCTAAAAACCACATGTCGTTGCTTGCATTGGGTTCAGTTTCTCTCCCAGCTGGCTGCACTTTCATATTTAGTCTGAAAATATGAGATTTTTGTCAGGGTTCTCATCTAATATTTACAAGCAGGCAAAGATACAGGTCTTTTTCATTTAGGATTAAAAAAAGACAGCATGCACCCCACCAAACATGATGAATGAACAAATTAATGAAGTGGGATCAGAGTAAGAGATTGGAATCCCTGTAGGACTTTGCCTTCCTCTTTTATAGTAGGTGTCAACACCCGGATACCAGATAATGACATGCTTCCTTAATCACAGAAGCACCAGCTGGATGGGGACAGATTTTCTGTAACACAATCCCTCCAAGTCTACTTGCAGGTCAGAATGAAGACAAGACATTTAGCTCTGGTTTCAGCAAAAACATACAAGTCACCTTGCTCTTCTTCAAAAAACTCCCTCAAACAAATAGATTTTCTATAAAAGCTGAGCTTAAACATCTGATATACAAATCGTAGGGACATCATGTTTTTGTACCTTTGGATTTAGACTGTGAAGGCTCCTCTGGAGTCACCTCCTCCACTGCCTCTACTGTAATTTCCTCAGTTACATCCTGCACTCCTGCTTCCTCAACCGACTGTGGTGTTATCTCCTCTGTAACAGCTTCTGGGTGAACCTGTGGAGTGACTCCTGGCTCTTGTTGCTTTTCTAAAATCACTCCAGCCGGAGACTCTGCAGTGACTTCTGGTTCAGGTTCAGTCTCTAAACTATCTGCTGATACTGTTTTTGGTTCTTCTATCAGTTCTGGCTCCGTTTCCTCAGACTCAGGGTTGGTTTCAGGAACCACCTCTGGTTCCTCTTGTGATTCTGATTTGGTCAATTCGACCGCCTCCCTCTCAGCTGCATCCTCCACATCTGTATCGTCTTGCAGGACTGTTTTCACAGTTTTCATTTCTACAGAAGCTTCCTCTGTTTCTTCCTGTACGTCTTCATCTTCTGATTCCTCAGTCTCTTTAACCGCATCTTCTCCATCAGTATCCTTAGGTTCAATCCCTTCTTCCTCCTGGGATATTCCATTTTTGGCTTCTTCCTCGTCTTCCTCAGCCACAGCCAAAGTCTCCTCCTCATCTTCAGGAATAGGTGGATCATCTACTGTCTCCTCAGCTTCTTCATCTGATGTCACTTCTTCTTCATCTTCTTCTTCACTTGCTGCCACCTTGGTGGAAGAATCCTCTTGTGGTGCTTCCTCTTCCTCCTTATCCTCTGAGGAGGATGGGTCTTTTTCAGCATCTGCAGTCGATGGGGCTTTGCAGGGATGGCACACAGCCCTCTCTGGGGCTGGGGTGTCGTTGGAGGAGCTCTGGCTGGAATGCTCCTCTGATGTGTCACAGCCACAGGAAAAGAGGTCTCCCTCTGGCCGCTGGAGCTTCAGACGCATCCGAGGATCCTCATCTTGGACAGAGGAGTCTGTCAGGAGATCTGAAACGAGAGGGAAATATGATTTTACAAAAGTTTACCTTTCAGCATGACAGAAACCTTTGAAATATCTCTGACAGCAAAATTTTGTAAAGAAAGAGAAGTGATTGTTCTTGAAGTCATTGTCATCTCAGACTTTAAAAAGATGCAATGAAATGCCTCACATTTCATAGTCAAAAATCACTGTTATGCAATTCACTTCAAGTAGAGATGTACAGACAAGTCACCCTTGTTTGCTACGTCAGCGTTCGACCTGCATTCAATCAGGATGCTTGAACAGAGCAGATCACAGGTTTATCACCTCTTGGATTTCTGACTCAGATTTCAGTTCCTTGACTGGTGGAATGAAGGAATGGACTATTTAAGGCTACAAACACTGGACAGTGGCAGAGGACGCCAAACAGAAATGAATTCATGTAAGGGTACACATTTTTGCTCATGTGGTGTTTTTAATTAACATGAAATTTCTGGCCAAAAGTGTGAATGAATAAATAATTTCCTTTATTTCCTGATTTTCAAATAAATTCTATTATATTATCATTAATAAGGACAAATAGAAGCATCACTTGATTAGTACTGAATCAAAAACTGTGATGTATGCCATTCAAATCTTCTGTTTGGATGATTAGGCAGCGGAAGAAAACTGATAACCTGACAGGCTGCAGCAAGACCAGGTATATAAAAAAACAAGGACTATTTGCAACTGTAGAAGAGACCAAGAAACATGCTGTTTAACCCACACATTGCCTTTTCCCACTAAATGTTTTCTTAACTTTAAAGCCAAAGATTTGTTCAGTGATTGATGATAAAATGGTTTAAATGTTTCTCACAGGTCAATATGACATTATTAGCAGAGACTACACCAAGTTGCTCGCACCCGTTCAGGTAAACAGACATCAGCATTGTTCTACAGTTACCGTGGCGTCGAAACAATCATACCTATAAACAAGCTTCTCCCTCTACATTACACTACATACATGTGCGTGAGATACGCTTCACTACCACAGTGACCAGAGAGCACAAGGCCACGACCTCTGTTTAATTATAACTGCGTGTGAGGAGGAACGCACATTGATACAACGTGTGATGTGAGGGAGTCAAATACATGTCTACGGGTCATGTTACACGATGGGGTCAGTGTAATGGATGAAGACTAATAGCCTCAGGCAGCTGTCATGGTTATTAGATTGTCCTACGCTGATAAGTAATTTGTGATAATTTCATTTACATTTTTGCACAAAATACTTCCAACATAAATGTATTTAAATTCTACTAATTTAATCCAGTGCATGAATTATTTTGCTCGATAAACTTTCTTTGGTTAGACTCACAATCTAAAGCTTTATATTTCAGTTTCACTGTCACGGCTTACTGGGACACTTGATGAAATGAAATCATTATTACCCAAACTTGTTTCACTTGCGCTGTTCCTGTTTTGACAAGTTAAAAGGCTGCTGGGGGAAAAACTGTAACAACAGCATAAAATCCACAACACAGGAAACTTTCTCTGTTTTGCTGTATCAGGATTGGCTAGTTCCAAACCTCTGAATCAGTGTGCACATCCAAGATTAGTTCATGAAAGAAAATCCAGATGCTGAGTGAGCCAAACTATCAGGTTAGTATCAATGCAGATGCCTTTCCATTTCGTCTCTGTGGGCAAAGAGTAGTGCAGCTATCGGCTACTTTCTGTCTAAAAGGTGGATGTGAAAGTAACCAGTAGCTCCCTCCTAGTCAGGTATACTTGGACTTTAAGCTTTGATTTATGTTTTCTTTACCCTATTTTAAGACCTTGAATCAAACACCACACATGAACTTTATTCTCATGATGCTGCTTATCACCTCTTGGAAGCTTCATTAGCTTATCACCTACTGAGCTGCTGTCAGCATCTGTGACCAGAGAAGGTTTCTAATCCCACAGGATCCTCAGTGTTCACGAACTATAAAGGTTATAATTTAAAATGTTTTGGACACTATGTGCTGGAACTCAGTCCATTCATACAAGTGAAAACAACAAGATTTGTTTCACTGGTCCATCGCTAAACATGGCTTTAATGGACAACCTGTCCAATCCTCAGCTCTAACACACAAAAAGACAGAAAATCCCACAAACAATTCCTTTCTAAGCAGAAGAGTCTTTTGACTTTATCACACTTTCTGAGCGCGATTAGCATCAGAGAGACAGCATTTGGATGCGAAGATGCTTCCTCGCTGTTACTGAAGGCGGCTAAGTCATGCTTGTCCAGACTCTGTCATTTTGGGTGGAACAAGACTAATAAAACACATCTTGGCCAGACTTAAGTGCACGATGGGTGTCAGCAAATGAGTGACTCAAAGAGAGGGGATTAGTGAGAGGAAAAGTGAGGAGGGTGTATGGTTCAGAGATTCTGATCAAGCTTGGGGGAGGTCTGGATGCCGTCCATAGACATGTTGTTACAGCATTGTCTGCATAGTAACATGAACAGCAGCAGGCGCTGCAATCCTGAGTTTAGTTAGTGAATGAAGGTTTCCAGAGTTAAATGACATTTCACACCAAGGTCATTGTTTAAAGATCATTCACTAATTATGTAATACAAAACAGATTAAATATCCGCTGTTTTTGTCATCTGATCAATTATCAAAGCGTATGTACCAAACATTTATTTGAAATCCTTGATATGCTAATTTAGTGGAAGGCTCTTTATCACACTAACTGCTGAAAGTGCATGTTTAAAGAACCTGGTATTTACATGTAGTTTTTAAACTTGCAAACATTGCAGCGACGCTGTCTGAACTTCATGCACACGCTATTCTCGAAACTGCTGGTCTCAAGATCACATCAAGCAGGGAGATCATTTTCTGCTGTGCTAGTTGCCAGCAGTGGCCAAATTAAATTAAAGTTAACATAATTAAAAATGGGAATGACGTGCCAGTGTGAAAGAAAAAAAAAAAAAGAGACATAGTATGTGTGAAAATAATCCCCTGTGCTTTCAGAGACACAGCTTTCCAATATAAAAAAACATTTAGAAGAAACCCAAATAAGTGTTTTTCTCATTTTTATAGCATTTTTTACAGCATAGCTGTGAGAACGGCAAAAAGGGTCTGCTGCTGGTCTGCTGTACATATTAGATGGATGTAGCCACTTTTATGATACCCATGGGTTTGTGAAGTCCTCTGCTGAAACCTCAAACTCATCATTTTGATTCAGTTTCTGAAACCAGGCTTGACGAGCAAGGGTTGCATCACCTACTCATATACACTTGATGTACAGCAGGGGTGGGCAACTCCAGGCCTCGAGGGCTGGTGTCCTGCAGGTTTTAGATGTGTCCTTGATTCAACACAGCTGATTTAGTGACCTCCTCAACACGTCTTGAAGTTCTCCAGAGGCCTGGTAATGAACTAATCATGTGATTCAGGTGTGTTGATCCAGGGTGATATCTAAAACCTGCAGGACACCGGCCCTCGAGGCCTGGAGTTGCCCACCCCTGATGTACAGGGTAGCTATGAGCTAAAATTTACTGTTGTTGTATTTATTTTACTTTAGATAAAAAGTGAGCATCATGAAAAAAAGTTTAAAAGATTTCCGACCATAAACTCATCAGCAAAGGTGGCCTCAGTCTCACAGACCAGCTGGCGACCATCTGATAGAGAAAAATGTACAGAAACCAGTCACAAACAAAGTGGAAAAAAAAAACTTTCCTTGTGATTGCTTTGGCTGCTAGCAGATTGCCTGTAGGCGATGCTGGCTGGTCTGCAAACACCTACTAACTACTAGCTGGGTGGTAGCAAAACTTCAATAAGCGTGATGCAAACTTGAAATAGAGCATATTCACCTTCAAGTAAAAGTTGTGCCTTAGTACTATAGGCTAGACGTTTTAAAAGGTTCAACTTTTACTTTGAAAGCAAATGGTCTCCATTTCCAGTTCGTATTGTGCTTTTCACAGTTTCACTACCACTTGCTTGCAAGACAAACCAGCGTCTTTCATGGAAGCTCACTGCGGAAACCTGCTACAGACAAGAGCAATCGCAAGGAGGTTTTGCAATTTTCACCATGTGATTGCCAGGAACCTCTGTCAACCACTCCCCAAATGGTCTTTTCTTTGGATACTGATGGTTAGCCACACAAATATAAAGAATGGTCTTTGTGACTGGAGCCTTACTAAGGTCATGAATACAGTGATCAGTGGTCCAGAACAAAATATATGGGATTTAGAAATAAAGCTTCTTTTGTGTTAATCTTAGCAAGCTAATGTGCTATTGTGATATTAGTATATTAAAAACAATAATTTAATAGATAATGATTCAGTTTGTAAAGCTATCAAAATCAAGGAGCAATGTGCTCCTGATCCCTGCACCGCCGGCTGCTGCAGTGGAGCCTGGGCAGACCGTGGTGTTGTGGGGATAGAGTGGGACAGGTGCCTGGATGCTGGATGGTACAACTTTGAGACAGAAATAGTGACACAATGAGTCAGAGGGTGAAAAGAAGGAGGGATAATTCCACTCCTATTTTCAGGAAGTGTGACGCTCTTCTTCTCCATGTGATTCTCATGAGGCAGGCCTGCATCTGTGCTGCACTATTACACGCAGCCCCTGCAACAGTGTGCAGCGGCACAAAGCTCTTTTTAAAGACCAAGAACAATAAAAGCATCAGTGGTGAGATCAATGACATGCAGCTATGTATTGCACTTTGAGCATAACAACCACAGTTATTCACATACAGGATGGAAGGACTGTTAAATTTTGGGTCGATATGTGTGTTTTTCTTTTGTTCTTCTTCATTCGAGTCCTGACATTGGCAAATGCCATCTTATATGCTAGAAGGCCACCAGCAGTTAACAAGTACTTAAATACATCATTTAGCATCATCTTTAAACAGTTAATTAAATACAGTCATTTAACCCTCCAAAGACAGCGTGCTTTCTGTTAGCAACTCTATCACCACAGTTTATTTTCATTCACCTCGACTTTTAATGCCCCATTATGTAATTTTAAACAGCCCAACTGTTGGGCTTCTCGGCTCAGGTCTTATATTCCCTGTGCCGAGCTTCTCGTGCCTGTTTTAGAAGGAACATCCTGACTGGACAGCGCTGACTGGAATGACAGATTAGCGGCTCTGCAGAGTGGGAGTGGTGAAGCTTTATTGAGACATTAAATCAAGTACTGACTGTCTGTGCTCATGTATGACTTTATGATGAGTGAGTCACTGTATGTGACTATTTACACAGCGCAAATATGTGAGCATTTCTGAAAGAGAGATATACTGATCCCCGGCTTTGGTGACTACAGTATCTGATGACGACTTTGTGACACCTGACTACAGCAGCTTGTAGGGGCCAAAATGAAGCAATGCAAGGGCAGACAAGGGTGTTCCTGGCTTCAACTTTAGTAAAGAAATCAATTAAAAACAACTATAACGGTCTGAAACAACTTTCGCAACAAGTTTGATTAAGTGTCATGCCTATATCTGTAAATCCTTACTCGGGCACCGCACGGTGCTGTTAATGCAGATGATTTGTATTTGTATTTTCAATCACTGCGTTTACTTTGGATGCAGAAGAGAACGTGATTCTTTGGAGAATGTCCAAGTTACTCTGTCAGTGCTGTCACTGTGTTACTCTGGAGGGCACAGAGAATAAGCAGCAGGCAGGACAGTTTCCATCAGCTGGAGTCACACCTCAGCCCTGACATTTCCACTTACACAACCAAAAATTCTGCACTGCACCACAGAAGCATATAGTACACACCTAAGAGTCAAACCTGAGAATGCATTCAGTTAGCAGTGACCCCATTATAGTTTCATGGCTCAAATCATGATAATAATAAATAAAGACTATTAAAAAATATTTAAAATTTCCATTTGTTGTTTGTTATCATTTCAGTTTCCAGCAAGATGTGCAAAAACCCACATGCTTAAAGACACAGGCAAAATACACCTATAGCCATCTAAATGTATTGGATCAGCTGGTCCATTTCAAACATGCCTGCTTGAATTACACACCCATCAAGCGGTTTTACAAAACTTAGACATTTTGACAAAATCCCAGCTTCAACCCTCCACCGTACCTGCAGCAGACAAGGCCAGAAGAGACAGCAAGCAGCACACAGACACCACAGACTTCATTTTGGCTGCCAGGGACCTGCCGCTCATCTCCCTCAGCTATATATACTGCTCTAGCTGAAGGTCAGAGGGCATGCCAGTGAAGGGGGGGGGGGGGGGCAGCAGCTGCACCCGTGTCAGCCATTGTGTGTCAGAGCAGCTGCCAGTTCTAATCGGGAATGTTGAGAGAAGAAGGAGACTAAGTGATCATGTTGTGCTTTGGTTTGCAGGCTGTATAAAAGCACCTCGGAAAACTGAAAAAGAAAAATTCAGAAGCTTTACATTTTAATGAGACAAGTTTTTTTTGAGTCACATTTATAGTGCAGCAGTAATGCCTTTCATTTGCTTCATTGCTTTAGCTCAGATTAAAAAACACTGAATGGATTACCATGGGTTTGGGGGCAAAAAGTAAGTGGCCACTTTATTAGGTACAGTCATGGAGGTCCTAGAAACATTCCTCTGGGATTTTGGAAACTTTTGTTTCCGAACATCGCTCTACTGGATTGATTTCTGGAGACTGTGGTGCACATTTGACTGCAGTGAACTCATTATGATGCCCAAGAAACCAGTTTGACATCATTTGAGCTCTGTGTATGGTGTTTTTCCTGTTGGTAGCAGTCATCAGATGACTGGTACACTGTGGTTAGAAAGGGATGGACACGGTTGGCATCAACAATGATTTAAACAGCACTCATTTGGTATTAAGGCGTCCAAAGTGTGCCAAGCAAATATCCCCACACCGTTTTACACCCCCACCAGATTGAGCTGCTGATAGAAGGCAAGGTGAATCCAGGGTTTCATGTTGTTTACACACAAATCCTGACTGTCATCCAGCTGACATAGACCTTGAGACTCAGACCAGGAAACATTGTTCCAATTTTCGTGAAGCTGTAACTGTAGCCTTGGTTTTCTGTTCTTACATGACAAGAGTGGGATCCAGTGTGGTCTTCTGCTACTGTAGCCCATCTGCTTCTAGGTTCAATGTGTTGTATGATCAGAGATGCTCTTCTGCATACCCTGCTTCTAACAAGTGGCTTTTCAAGTTACTGCTCTTCAAAGCAGTCTGGCCATCTTCTGACATCAATGGGGCATTTCTGCACAGAGAACTGACACTCACTGGATTTTATCCTCTGTCAAACTATCCCCTGTAAACCCTGCAGATGGTTGTGTGGCAAAATCTCAGAAATACTGAAATACTCAGACGAGCCAATCTGCCACTAATAACCAACCCCTAAAAGTTGTGTCAAAATTAATATAATTCATTTTAACTTAAACATTCAGAAAAGCCACTCAGATTCACTGACTTCCTTCAAATAGACTACAAAGCTCTTGTACACTATGCATCTTTTAATGGTGCTATAAAGTTACTTTAATAGAATGACAAATACTACTGTCCTACTACAAATACGTAGCGGACTGCATTTAAATCTGTCAAAACAAATAGTACACTACAATATTTTATCATTTTTGCACGTTGTTGCAGTGCACATGTGTATGTGCCACATCTTCTATCACCAATTTGAACTCTGCGCAGCAGTAATAGTCACTCATTATCACCACCTGGTGGGCAGAAATGGTCGTATGTATGAATAAAAGCAACCAAACAGAGGGAGTGTAATAAAAAAGTACAAATTTTTATTTTTTCGTCTTTACAAAGGCCTGTTTACCCAAGGTTTTTCTTTTTTTTTTTATAAACAAAATATAACAGCTTCTCATCGACCTGGACTGATGCAGAACAAAAAACAAAACTTAAAATCACAATATAAAAGGCTTGTCACTTAAAAAATGAAAAGCAAGACAAATTAAAGATTTTGAACTGCGTCACAGCAAAGAGCGTATGGGGAGAAAAACAAAACAAAACAACCCTTCCTGAAAGCTGATTCAGGCATTAAAGAACAGCAAGTGCTTCATATCAAATATGTCAAATTCCACCAAAAAACAGCAGTGCTGCAACACAATGTACAGAAACATTTGGGCGTAAGAGTTTCTCTGACCAACAACAGCCCAGATTAAAATCAGGCTGTTGTCATATGTCAGAGCAACACCAAACCCTTTAACAAAGTTTCACAAACAAAATATGAAAAATACCCCACGTTTGGCATGAAAATGCTAGTCTAGTCTAACCTGATGCCTGGGAGTGACTAGTGTCCACACATCCTACACAAGACAGTGTCACTGAACGCATCAGTCATGTGTTCATGGAAAAAAAAAAATAAAAAAAAAATAAAAAAATAAAGACCCCGCAAGAAATAAACAAAATGTCATAACAAAAGATTACTTCAGACGAGAGAAAATGCCGATTAGTAATATGCATTCCGTTGGCAACAGAACATACAAGAGATCAAAAGACAGATACAAATCCAAGAAAAGGGAATGTTTACAGCATCAAGTCAGCGTATCAAATTGAGTATGACAGGAGAGAGGCTTGTAGCAGGGGTTTCCAGTCAAATTCCCAAGAAATATGAACAAAGTAACATGAGGTGGACAGACTTGGTGCTTTTTTGAGACAGACAAATGGAGGGATTGTAGCTGGGTGTTGTATCAATTTTACATTTTACCAAACAGTGTTTTTGCCCTTTTTGTAGCCAATGTTGATGCCCTGAAAACTGACAATGATCTGATTTGTTTGCTCAGTTTTCCCCACCTAAAGCTGCTCATTTCTGCGTGTGAGCAACCCTGAAAACCCATCCCTGCTCTACACTCTGAGCATGTTCAAAGTGTGTAAATGACAAATATTTAACAAAAAAAAAACAAACAAAAAACAGGATCTGTAGGAAATGTGATTAACGGTTACATGAAGGGTTTTGGCCTCAGCTCACTGCTCATCAGCAGAGCACCAGGGTTATCAAAAGAGCACCTTGCAAGTAGAGACTACATTCTTTGACACAAGCTCATCAAGTTTCATACATATACTGTAGGCGCGTGACCACCTATTGACGGTGCATAGAGATCTTCACCTCATGTAGAAATGACACCAACAAATGTAATGAAGATGGAATTGCATAAATACCAAAAAACGTTAGTGCATAGTCACTGAAATTAATAAACCAGGACTAAAAGAGACTTAGATAGTCTTTGGAGGAACACCAGAAGCCTGCATGCAGTGCAAGCATATGAATCATCCAAATCGCATCAGCTAAACTTCACATATTTTCATTTACAATTAAAAAAAAAGAAGAAAAAAAATCTGATTCAGTCAAATTGTCTGGGAGCGATCATAAATTAACACCAGACGTGAACGTTGGTTAATATTTTCGAGCGATAAACCAACATTTGATGGCGGCTGGTTCAAAACTGAAATCAGAATCTGTTTAAAAAAAAAATAAAAAATTTAAAAAAATCCCCTCAGGGACCCCGGTTCCCTGTAAAAACCTGATAAACCTCCAATTTGATAAATTCAATTTAAGAAATTGTTCACCTTCCGTATTCAGTAACGCTGACATAAAGTTAACAAAAACATAACCAAAAAGACGACCAAAGTAAATTGATCAAGAGCTTATTTTAAGGGCTTATTTAGACATTAAAAGCATTTTTTCTTTCAAGTAAAATCAGACAATTTCTTTAAGCGAGTATCCTCAAATTAAACTTGTAATTAGGTGAATTTCATTCCAAATTCTGGCATTTCGAAACTGCTTCAGCTGTAGTTTGAGTTTCAGAATTGAGAGCTGCTCGGTTATTGCGATCATACATTCAGCTCTCTGTTACACTGACTCCCATCAGTTTGAAGCACAAGTAATACTGCCGGTGTGCCAGTGACGATGGATTACTGCGACGCGTAAACACAAAATGAAGGGCGGACTGATGCTGATAGCTTTTTACACTAGAAGACCCTCAAGTTTCATAATAGTCACAGACCGGCTCTGCCATTGAAAGACAGCCTCGAGAGATCCCACAGTGTCTCCTCTGCACGCTGACCATCCTATGTTTTCAATATTAAGAGATTTTACAGTACAAGACTGACACAGAGCTTAACCATTGGATTTTAGGAGTTTGGATAATGCCAAAGACGACGTTTTTTTTTTCTCCTTTTTTTTTTCTGTCAAAAAGCAGTCAACCTCCTGGAGGGAATCTTACAGTGAAAAGGTATTTATGTGTGTGTGTGTGTGTGTGTGTGTGTGTGTGTGAGGGAGAGTAAAAGAGAGAGAGAGTTCATGGGATGGATCAATTCATTGAACTGTCCTCCCCCTCTGTGTCAGTGTCTGTGTCAGAGCAGGCGGTGTCCATGGCGATGTGGGCGGGGCTTACAATGACAGCTCTTCTCTGCTCCTCCTCAGCGCTGGCTCTCCTCTCCTGAGTGCGTTCGATATGCTGGATGGCCTGGGAAGGTAAGAAAGTATACTTTAAATATGAGGCAATAAACAGACTAACAAGCAAAAGCAGCTTTCCATACAAAGTACTCTCCAACTCTCCATTGCAGTAAAGACCCATGAAGATCAGGCTAGTTAGTCTGCTTGAACCTTTTGTTTTAACATGCAGAAAAGCATAGAGACCTGGGTCGTGCACTATGAATCAAGCTCAACAAACCCAGGCTCTCTTTCTATTATCTGGCTTCACTTAACCCAACATTGGCAATCAGGCTAATGCTTGTTTTATGGTAACACGCGTGTTTATTTTTGTAGGTTTTTGACTTTGCAGAGGGGTATGCAACCAGCACAAATGTGGTTGCATGCAGCCCTCCAATGACGCAACAGCATGTAGCTCGACAAGCATGACAGTATGTGTATGCTGACTGGTTGAGAAGTGGGCTGGAACAAGGAATGGAGCGATGGCCAAGTTCCTTCCAAACAGGATGTCAGAAGATGATAAAATGGAGCATGAGAAGCACAGATGGTGACCGCAGCGGACACTTTTCATTGTTTTCCAACAGTCGGTTTCACTTCAGCTCTTTGTATGTTCTCTGCTGCAGCTGGCAAGGACCAAGAACAAGCAAAAGCAGCCCACAGACTAAGGACTGACACCACTGTAACAGCATTACTACTCTTAGTGGTAATGCTATTGAACTGGTACTTTAACATAACTCCTATCAGATCATATATGATTT